TAAACCGCTGATTCCTTTGAGACATTGTCCCCATAAACTTTTGGTAAAGCATCAATAATTTTATCATTCATCCACCCAAGCTTCACTGTAAATTTGATGTTTATTCTTCTATTTTAGCAGAATTCATGTTGCTCCAATAGGGGCTGTCTTCAAACTGGTGTTTTCTCCTTCTTAGTGCCTCAAAGTAGATCCTGTTCAGATATAACAGGTTAATATGAGTTTATTTTGGTGTAAAAGTACTTTGAAATTCATGCATAGTTTTTTCATCATATGCATTTTCCATAGCTTTGAACATCCCCATGTAACTCTCCTCTTCCACAAACCAAACAATGAAAAAGCACCTCCGTGATGGAAGTTCATTTTGCAATAGGAACTCACAGTGATCTAAGCCCTGCTATTCATGAATATAATTCATTACTGGAGACCGGGCGCGGTGGCTCATGCCTGTAATCCCAGCACTTTGGGAGACTGAGGCGGGTGAATCACGAGGTCAGGAGATCAAGACCATCCTGGCTAATACGGTGAAACCCCATCTCTACTAAAAGATACAAAAAATTAGCTGGGCCTGGTGGCGGGCGCCTGTAGTCCCAGCTACTCAGGAGGCTGAGGCAGGAGAATGGCGTGAACCTGGGAGGCGGCGCTTACAGTGAGTCCAGATCGCGCCACTGCACTCCAGCCTGGGTGACAGAGCGAGACTCTGTCTCAAAAAAAAAAAAAAAAAAATTCATTACTGGAGTCTAAGTGGCTTTTTGATTTTTGAAGTTCTCTTCTCCCCTTGCAGGTATAGAACAAGATGCAGTGAATACTTTTACCAAATATATATCTCCAGATGCTGCTAAACCAATACCAATTACAGAAGCAATGAGAAATGACATCATAGGTAAGCAATGCTTGAAACTGTGGCAAGAAAAAAAAAAACAAAAAAACAAAAAATGCACAGAACTGACAATTTTGGTTACTGACTAATTTTTTCTTAACATGGAATTTAACAGTTCCCTTCCTAATTTGTTTTCTGAGTATTTTTTATGTCAGATTATAGCTCACTTTAAAAGTTTCTCGGCTGCAGTTGGCGCCAGGGTTTTTGCCTGGGCCGGGAGGGCTGCAGTGTAGTGGGTGCTCTGGCCTGGCCACTGCTGAGCAGCCAGGCTGGCGGGCGGCTACGCACACTGGCACAGACCACCAGACGGACTGGCTGGCAGCCCCGCACCCGTGCACAAAGTGGGCGGGACAGAAACTTCTGGGGTTGGAAGTGCAGTGAGGCTAAAGGCCAGTGCCAAAGTCTCCAGGCATCAGGGCTGCAGCCCAGGAGTCTCAAGACCAGCGGACAACTGGATGGCCAGACAGTTGTCTCAGTGTGGCCTCTCTGTCTCAGGGCTTCATCCCACTCCTCAGTGGGCCTGACCTCCCGTCTACCTGCGTTAGCCAGAGCCATCACATGGCCCGTGACTTGCCATTTTTTGCCAGTTGATTGTGCCACACACAATGTCATTTCTGTGTCATTTGGCACAGCTGGAGGTGCAAGGAGGAGGGCAGCCTCATGTCCAGTCCCAGTTTCAAGTAACTTTATTCTTCTGAATAAAGACAATTTGCTAACTTTACAAAAAAAAAATTTTTTCTTATATGTTGGACCCAAATTCTTAGACTTCGACCTAAATAACAATGACAGCAAGAACAATAAATAGTACACATTTATTGAACACTCACTGTGTCCCAGACAATATTCCAAGCACTTTCTGTGGATAAACTCTTTAACTTCTAAAGAACTTTGTGGGATAAATACAGTTATTTTATAGATGAAGAAACTGAAGCACAGAGAAGTTAAGTACTTTGTCCAAGGTAACAGCTCAGACATGGCGGAGTCAGGGTTTGAAACTAGACCCTCACATACCTTAACTGCTGTGCTGTGGCAGTGTTTTTCATACTGTAGTTGGGACCGACCTTCTCCTATGCCCTCACCCCCTACCAAAATAAACATATATATATATGTTAGTGTATATAGATATGTTAGTGTGTATATATATGTTAGTGTATATATATGTTAGTGTGTATATATATGTATATACACACTAGAATAAAAAAATCAAAGTGTCTCAGAGTAGTAAGGACAAACATCATTTCAGAAAAATGTTTTCATTATATATACATGTATGTATGTGTATGCTGATTCAACAAATATATTTCTGTATAAGTTATAGCAAAATAGTTTGAAAGCTTTTACTGTGTTTTATCAGGAAGACCTTAGGTGAACATATATTCACAGATAAAAGAGGTTTATTTATTCGTTCAATAAATATTACATTCTCATAAGTCCTAATATTATGTATTTTTATTTTTCAAAAAAGTTAGTATTTGTGATTTATGTAATAAAACTTGTTCTTGCACTTCTAGCAGGTCTGTCCCAATGTGGGGCTTCTTTAATCTTACTGTGGGTACTTTGCACTCACTCACTACTGGAGACAGCAAGACCCCTGTTAGTCTCAGCTGTGTTTCTTAAATTGGCCCACTGTACCTTCCAGTTAGCTATTGTGGGGTCCATCTCATGTTGCCTCCATTTTCCTTTTCTTTCTCCCAGACAGATACCTATAACAGCTATAACATAGGCCTGGTGGCTGTTGGTGGCTTATCCCTATCTGCTTGTATTTAAGGGGTGGTGTTTCACTGAGTTTTGCTGACAGATGTTGTCATGAGATTTGAGTTTTTCTGTGTTGTTGCTCTGTTTTTATGTGAGAATTTGCTGCTACCATTGTCGCTAGACCAGCTTTTCCTAGTAATACAACAGGGATGTTCTGACTGATTAGAGTTTGCCTGTTTGAAGAATTGGTTGGCTAGTGACTTTTTTGAGGGGCGTCTGTACCAGTTAATAGCCTCACTGGTGTGAGGATGAAAAGGAAAGAGTTTCAAGTCAAATAAAACACTTAAAAATGAAACCACACTGCAACTCTCTTTCTTTTACTTAAGCTTAATCAAATTAATGATGATGTAATCCCATGAAGGAAAAGTCTGCTTAAGGATCAAGTTGATAACATTTTGTGATCAAGGGATTTGAGAAAACCTCTATCCCAGTGTCTATCATTATATATTTTAGGATGTTAATTACCTGTATGGCTTTAGGCAAGTCATTTTTCCTCCTTGAGCCTCATTCTTAATCCTGTCCAAATTATTTGTCTCCTCTTGCTGCAGTTGTACTATTTGAATATAGCTGTCCTTCAAGTGAGTTTTATTCAAAGGAGCCTTCACTTCGGCACTTACTGTGTATCCAACTTGCATAGTCTTGTTTTAAATGTTATCCTTGGGTTTTTGGCTTTGCTTTCTAATTACTGTTTTTATGTGAGGATTTAGAGTGATCCAGAAGCTATACTTCCACTACCTCCTTCATCTTCCACAAATCTTTAAAGTGGTAGAATTTTTAAAAACTTTGAAGGTACAGCTGACAGAATTTGCTAATGGTTTGGAAGTGAGTAGTATGAGAGGGAAAAAAAGGAATAAAGCATGACTGCATTTTTTTTGTTTGTTTAAGCGATTCCCCTGCCTCAGCCTCCCAAGTAGCTGGGACTACAGGCTCTTGCCACCACCCCCAGCTAATTTTTTTTTTTTTTTGTATTTTAGTAGAAACGGAGTTTCACCGTGTTGGCCAGGATGGTCTCCATCTCCTGACCTCGTAATCCACCTACCTTGGCCTCCCAAAGTGCTGAGGTTACAGGCATGAGCCACCCCACCCGACTGCATGACTCCATTTTTTAAAAAACTGAATACCTGGAATTGTCATTTATAAGATGAAAAGACTGTAGGAGTAATGGCTTATGAGGAAAATCAGGAGTTTGGTTTTAGACATCCAAATGGTGAATGTCAAGTAGGTAATTGGACACCTACATTAGGATTTTATGGCAGTGGCCCGGGTTGGAGACACGTGTTTGGAAGTCATTAGCATATAGATGGATTTAGAGCTGCAAGACTAGATAACATTACCATAGGAGTAAGTGTAATGAGGGAAGATGAGGTCTAAGGACTGAGCCCTGACATTCTGTCAGATGGGGAAGAACTAGCAAAGGACACTTAGGCCCTCTTATGACAATGGTATATCAAGAAGTAGTTTTCTTCAGGAGGGCAAGTAAGAAGAATGTTTCTGGGAGGAAATGAAGCTGAGATAAGTAAGACGAATACTGGAATTGAATGGATTTGACAACCCATCGTACACTAGTTATCTTAATTACAGTGGGCCATTTTAGACGAAACTTAATTGGAGGAGTCTTAAGAGAGAATAGGAGGAGTGGAACCAGCGAGTATTGACAACTCTTATGTGGCATGTTCCTCTAAAGTTGAGCTGGAAGGTGATGTTAATCAAGTGTGCACTGGGGGCAGTGGTGCACACCTGTAATTTCAGCACTTTGGCAGGCCAGGGAGGTTGGATCACTTGAGCCCAGGAGTTTGAGACTAGCCTGGGCAACACAGTGAAACCCCATCTCTACCAAAAAAAAATAATACTACAAAAATTTTTCAGGCATGGTGGTGCATACCTGTAGTCTCAGCTATTAGGAAGGCTGAGGTGGCAGGATCACTTGAGCCCCAGGAGGTCGTGGCTGCAGTGAGCCAAGATCATGCCACTGCACTTCAGCCTGGGTGACAGAGCCAGACCCTGTCTCAAAAAAAAAGGCGGGGGGGGGGGGGCAATGGTTTTTAATTTTGTTTTTAAGGTAAGCTGTATTATAAGCATATAAGGTGTGTTACAGCATACGAACAGGTATACATGTATAACATGCAGTCCACACAGCTGATAGGAATGAGGCAGTAGTGAAGGAGAAGTTGATGTAGGAGAGGGGACAGTTGTTACAGGAAAGAAGTCTGGAGGCAAAAGGGATGACTTCTAGTGCTCACATAAAATATTGCTTAGATGGGAGCAAGGATAGTTTATCTGGAGTCACAGGAAAGAATGCAGTACATGGGTAGAGATGCAGGTGAGTTGAAAGATGTGAGAGATGATGGAAATGATTTTCTGATTTTTTCTATATTCTCACTGAAGCAGGAAGCAAAGTTCTCAGCAAAGAGAACAGGAGAAAGAGGTGTTGAATATTTGAGAAAGGAGATGTACTGTAGAAAAAAAAAATAAAACAAAACTCAATTTCTTCTGAACTCTCACAAAACAGAACCTTTCCATGACCCTAGTTGTGTGGGGGTTTTCCCTGTCAACTATCAATTCTGCAGATGATTCTCCAGTGACCCCTCCAACTGGGTGTCCTCTAAGTCAGTTCAGTTCTCACACGATCTACCTGGAGATAGCATCAGATCCCACAGATTGAGGACTCTGTCCCACAAGACTGCCCCCACTTCAGATGCCAGTCTGAAGCCCAAGTTGTGGCCTGTGCTTCTGACCGGCCTTCTATAAATTGGAGTTCCCACAGTCCCCTCCTTGGGTTCAGTAAATTTGCTAGAGCAGCTGTCAGAACTCAGGGAAATGCTTTACTTATATTTACCCATTTATTATAAAGGATATTACAAAGGATACAGGTTGAACAGGCAGATGGAAGAGATGCATGGGCAAGGTATGGGAGAGGGGGCACAGCTTCCATGCCCTCTCCAGGTCATACCACCCTCCAAGAACCTCTACAGATTTAGCTATTCAGAAGCTCCCCTCCCCATTCTGTCCTTTTGGTTTTTTTGTGGAGACTTCATTATATAGGCATAATTGATCATTGGCTATTGGTGATCAGCTCAACCTTCAGTCCCCTCCTTCTGGGAGGTTGGTGGGTAGGGCTGAAAGTCCCAACCCTGTAATTCTGCCTTGGTCTTTCTGGTGATTAGCCCTCATCCTAAAGCTCTTTAAAGGCCACCTGCCATTAGTCATCTCATTAGCACTCAAAAGAATCCAGTGATTTCATGAATTTTAGGAGCTGTATGCTAAGACACTGGCTAAAAAGGCCAGTTGCAATGGCTCAGGCCTGTAATCCCAGCACTTTGGGAGGCTGAGGCAGGGGGATCGTTTGAGGCCATGATATCAAAACCAGCCTAGTCAACATAGTGAGACCCCCCTTACAAAATACTTAAAAATTGGCCAGGCGTGGTAGCGCTTGTCTGTAGTCCCAGCTACTCAGAAGGCTGAGGATCACTGAGCCCGGGAGTTCAAGGCAGCAGTGAGCCATGATTGTGCCACTGACTCCAGCTTGTCTCAGAAGAAAAGGGGGGAAAAAAAACTGGGCAAAGAGTAAATAACATATTTCACAATATCACAGATTTGTATTGTCTAGGAAAGTGAATGTGAACAAACCACGACACTAGTATGATCCCTGGGTTTCATGAAGGCCCCGCTAAAGTCATGAACACAAAGTGAGACTAGGCATCGTGTTATATGGTTTTTCCAGCCATGTTTAACAGTTAGCCAAACAGCTTATTGTTTTGCTGCAGTTTATTTAGGCAGTTCCTTATTTTAGCACATTTCATGTTTTAAAATTTCTACCAATAACATTTTGATAAACTTTTTTACAGATGACTTCACAAATACATAATTTTTTAAGCTACAATCCTAGAAATAGAATTGCTCATTGAAAGGGTATGTTCGTTTTTAAAGCTATGCTAGAAACTGCCAAATTGCCTTCAGAAAAAGGTGTTTATATCCCCACTAACACTAGTGTCAGTTTTCCTGTGCCCTTGCTCAAGTATGCATATTATTAAAAACAATGTTGTACCAGTTTACTAGACAAAAGGTGCAGTGCCTCCTTATTCTGATCTGATTACTAGTGAGTATGTGTATCTTTTCACGTTGGTCATTTTATGTTTGTTCCTTTGTGGGTTGTCATGTCCTTTGCTCATTTTTCTTTTGGGACATTTCTTAGTAGTTTATAAGAGCTCTTGGTATTTTAATGATAGTAATCTTTTAACTGTCACGCATGCTGCAAATCTTTTTTCTGTTTGTTTGCCTTTGTATTTTGTTTTTGGAGTGTTTCAATGTCTAGGAAATAATTTTATGTTGTTAAATCTTTTGATTTCTGCTTTTGCGTATGTACTTCAAAAGACTTTCTACTTCAAGGTCAAGTGTTACCTGTATTTTCTTTTAGTTCTATTTAAAACCTCTTAATTTACATGCCTATGCTGTTAACTCCCAAGTTCATTCACAAGTATGTATAGTTTGAATTTAGTGGCAATTTAATTATTTACGACTTCTTTTACAGCAAAGATTTGTGGAGAAGATGGACAGGTGGATCCCAACTGTTTCGTTTTGGCACAGTCCATAGTCTTTAGTGCAATGGAGCAAGAGTAAGTTAGTTCATATTTTCACATTGTGCATCCTAGGGAATTTGGGTTCATTGTTAGGAATGGGCTTCACTTAGCTAAAAACGAAGTATTTTTGAGGATTTAAATATTTTGGATATTTACAGGAACATATAAGGCATACTCTATCTTGATTAATAGTTTCTTTTAAATATAAATTATGTGAACTCTTAAAATTTTAATTTTCGTTTTCAATGTTAGCATTTCCTAAGTTAAAATAATTTGTTTTTAGTTCTGAAATCATTTGGGGAGTGATTGAGGCTGTAGTGATTATGACTATTAGAATTGGTTTATTTATTGAAATAGTGCATGTCTTCAGATGGCTCTCCTAATTTGTTAGGCTTTAAGCTAAATCGATGCTATATAACTAAATCCACATAGATTTGTTGAAATGGCTCCAGAGGTTTTTTAGATTTATTACTGCTGTGTGCCCTTAAAAAAAAATCTGTTCATTCTTTCACTTAACATTTATCAAAAGAGTGCTCTGTGTAAGACATGGTTAGGCATAGTACCAGTCTTGAAGGAAGTTACAACCTAATAAAAGACATAGGGCATGTTCTTTGGTTACTGTAATATGAAGTGGCATGTGTTAAATGTCAGGGGAGAACTACAAAGTCATAAAAAGGTGGGAGAGATTACATACAGGTAAAGGAATCAGTAATGACACCGTGGGGAGTGAGATAGTGTTGACCTAGGCCTTTAAGATACAATAGGGACAGTATGGAAAGAGTATATTTTTCCCACTTAAACTCTTTCCTTGGTCGTTCCCTCAAATTTTCCCTTTTGTCCATGTGCAGGCACTTTAGTGAGTTTCTGCGAAGTCACCATTTCTGTAAATACCAGATTGAAGTGCTGACCAGTGGAACTGTTTACCTGGCTGACATTCTCTTCTGTGAGTCAGCCCTCTTTTATTTCTCTGAGGTAAAGTCTGCATTTCCTTTCACACTCTGTTCGAGCATTCCAGCCTCTAACTGTCAATGCTGGGGCCCTGTCTATAGGAAATAACCCAGAAAAGCCAAGTCATTTCCAAAAAGATTTATCGTTGTTTCAGGTTGTTTCTGATAGCAAGAGTAATTTAATAACATATTAGAGGGAACATGAAAACTCAATGTGTTAAATAACTCTAATTTTGAAAAACCTGATTAAGCTACTGCATGCCAGAGAGTGCATGTTTTTAATTGTTTGGAGCTATTTTAAAACCACGGAATTTGAAACTTCCAGGGCATAAATTGCAGACCAGACTTCAGAAGAGAAAAAGAAAAGTAGTAAATTTTTTCTTATGCTCATCATGTTTACTTTAGCCAGTTGATAGGATTGCCCAGTGAAGAAGCATTTGCAACAGACAATGAGTATATTAATCTTTTTGAGGCATACAGTTTAGTATAATGCTCTTTGTTAGGCTTCAACAAGTGAAATTATTTTGTCAGAAAGCAGAAAGAGGATTCCTGGTCTCACAAAGCAGTAATTTAGACACTTGATTCCGCCTCTTTGCAAGAATACAGGTACTCAGTTGATCTGTTTTTTCACTGCCTTTCTTTGCTATAAGTTTAAATCAACAATTTGTTTAGGTTAATATGTCCTCATGGAATGGTGGAAATGATCAGATATAAAATATTTGGTTAGTTTACTCTTTATATGTTTGCTGGTAAGGAACCACAAATCCAATTTAGTATAATTTTTACTCTAGTTCACTAAAAGTTTGCATCCAGTTGTGTAGTGTTTGTTTCTTGTTAATTTTTTTTTTCCTCTAAATACTTTAAAACTTTTTAATCTCAAATGACTGTAACTTGCTGACAGGTGTTAACTGAAGAAGTAGATCTTTTTGTTTTTTGCTTATGACCTGTATTTTAATATTTGAGCTTATAGATTAGAGATGGTGAGAGAAATCTGTTTATAGTCTTATTTTCCCTTGTGTATTATTTCTTCCTAGTACATGGAAAAAGAGGATGCAGTGAATATCTTACAATTCTGGTTGGCAGCAGATAACTTCCAGTCTCAGCTTGCTGCCAAAAAGGGCCAATACGATGGACAGGAGGCACAGAATGATGCCATGATTTTATATGACAAGTGAGTTATATTGATAGATGCATTCAGCAGATACTTATTGAGCATGTGGTATGTTTTGTGGAAATAAAGATGCAAAAACTCAGTCTCTGTTGTCAAGGAGTTCACATGAGGCGGCATAAAAGCTACTTTTTATATGGTGTTTGTAAAGCTTTGGGGGTTCTTAGAACAAAAGTTTCTGCTGGGAAAGGGGAGGTGTGTGTGGGGCAAACAGGATGGCAGTGGTAGTGTTCAAGCAGTGTTTCCCAGAAGAGAGATTTTGTTTGGATCCTAAAGAATGAATTGAATTTTGCTACCCAGAGAAGGCAGGAAACAACATTCTAGGCAAAGGCATTGGCACAGAAGCCATGGAGACTTGGCGGAAGGTGGCACTTTCAAGAAACTTGAGTTGAGATAATCAAAGGGTTGGGGAATACATGTGAGGATGCTGGTACTAATTGGAATAGATTGTAAGGGACCTTGAATGCCTCTTTATGGGTATAGTATACTTTCTGTATAAATCTGCCTTGCCACGTTATTAAATGAATTAGTTTTTTTATTAGTTTTCACTGAAAATGAGAGGATAGAAAAATCATACAGTGAACAAAATTGAAAATATCTGATCAGGCAAGTGATGAGCTTCTGGCCAGCTCTGTAACGTATGGTATTCTTTTCATTTAACTTTTCTTACTCTGTAAAAAAAATAATTTGTGGTTGGGCACGGTGGCTCACACCTGTAATCCCAACACTTTGAGAGGCAGAAGCGGATGAATTGCTTGAGCCCAGGAATTTGAGACCAGCCTGGGCAACATGGCAAAACCCCGCCTTTACTAAAAATACAAAAATTAGCTGAGCGTGGTGACGTGCGCCTTTTGTCCTAGCTACTTAGGGGCCTGAGGCAGGAGCATCACCTGACCCTTGGGAGGTCAACGCTGCAGTGAGCTGTGATCCACTGTACTCCACCCTGTGCAGGGCAGCAGAGTGAGACCCTTTCTCAAAAAAAAAAAAAAAAAAAGTAATTTGTTATTTGTATCCTTAAGCAAATGGTAAAGGGGTAACTTGGGGATAGAGAAAAGTCCATAAATGTTAGGGTTTGAAGACAGCCAATAGCATCTAGGCCAGTGGTTCTTGAACACTGGTCTGCAAGCTCTTGCTGGGCTGTCTGCATAGGAATCACCTGAGAGCTCGTTAAAAATAGGTTTTCAGGCCGGGTGTGGTGACTCCTGCCTGTAATACCAGCACTTTGGGAGGCCGAGGCGGGCAGATTACCTGAGGACAGGCATTCAAGACCAGCCTGGCCAACATGGTAAAAGCCCATCTCTACTAAAAACACAAGAATTAGCCAGGCATGGTGGCACACACCTGTAATCCCAGGTACTCGGGAGGCTGAGGCAGGAGAATTGCTTGAGCCCGGGAGGCGGAGGTTGCAGTGAGCCGAGATCATGCCACTGCACTCCAGCCTAGCTGACAGAGCGAGACTCTGTCTCAGGGAAAAAAAAAAAAAAAAAAAAAAAAATTAAGTTTTCAATCTGGGCATGGTGGCTCACACCTGTAATCGCAGCATTTTGGAAGGCCAAGGCAGGCAGATCACTTGAGGTCAGGAGTTCAAGACCCACCTGGCCAACATAGTGAAACCTGTCTCTACTAAAAACTACCAAAATTAGCTGGGCATTTTGACGGGTGCCTGTAATCCCAGCTACTAGGGAGGCTGAGGCAGGAGAATTGCTTGAATCCAGGAGGCAGAGGTTGCAATGAGCTGACATCGTGCCACTGCACTGGAGCCTGGGTGACAGAGGGAAACTCCATCTCAAAAAAAAAAAAAGTTTCCAGTCCCCCACCCACCCAGTCTCAGAAATTCTGATTCCACAGGTTTGAGGTGTGACCAGGAATCTTTATTTTTAGAAAACATACCAGATAATTCTGATAAATAGCCAGATTAGGGATGTAGTCTGATTTTCCTATTTTGCAAGTAAGGAAAATAAGGCCCAGAGAGGTAATGATTTTCTCAAAGTCACAGAACAAGTTAGTGGCAGCACTTGGACTGAAATGCAGTTCTTAATGTTCTGTCCAGTGTTTATTTTGATACAATATGTTTGTAGACGATACTAGATAAGAAACATTGCTATATAGATATTGAGATAAGAAGGGTTTACATTTAGAAATTTGGTGTAAAGTGCCTGAACATTCAAGTCGTGGAGGAGTATTGACCAACTTATTCAATACAACATAGGAGATTCACATTTTGTTACAAAAATGCTGATTTAAAAGGAGAGTTTTCTTTTTTTTTCTTTTTTATTTTTTGAGATGGAGTCTTGCTGTGTCACCCAGGCTGGAGTGCAGTGACACGATCTCAACTCACTGCAACCTCCGCCTCCTGGGTTCAAGCGATTCTCCTGCCTCAGCCTCCCAAAGTGCTGGGATTACAGGTGCGGGCCACCATGCCCAGCTAATTTTTGTATTTTTAGTAGAGACAGATTTCACCATGTTGGCCAGGCCGGTCTTGAACACCTGACTTCAAATGATCCACCCACCTTGGCCTCCCAAAGTGCTGGGATTACAGGTGTGAGCCACTGTGCCCGGCATACTTGTTTTTGTATCATATATATGCATCATCATAGTCATGCCTTATCAGCCTTTGTATTTCTGTCAGGAGATAGGAGATAGAAGCCATTAGAGTGCTTGGAAGAGAACTTTTTTGTTTTTCCTCGCATTTAATGCTTTTTTTGGTATTCATTTCATAATCAGCTTACCAAAACATTAGCTGCATTATACCCTATCAAGGTAGAAATCTTTGTGTTCCCAATATTAGTTACTCCCTTTCCTTTCCACACTGAGTCATCAGTAAGTCCTGTTCTATCCAAATAGATCATATCCATCCAGCTCACCCTCAGTGCCATTTTGTTTTGAATTTGTACATGTTTACTGCTGATGCCTCATAGTTATGATGATGTGTTCTTATTTTATTCTGTGCATACAAGTTCTCAGCTTGCTTTTTAGGAGAAATGACCATGTCTTCCTTTCCTATAAATTCATTTCTGTCTATCAAGTCCTGAACAGAGAATAGGTACCCATAAATATGTGACTGTTAGTTTCTTTGCCTCAGTTGTAGTCTGCTCCTTACAGCTTTTAAACAACAGTAGAGTTCACCGTCAAGAACTAAGGATGGTTGGCAGACAGATAGAAAGGTAGCAAGTTGACCCAACTATCTGTGGGGAAGTGGGAATAAAGAAAGGTTGCATTAGTACCGTCATCACATAGCTCTATGGTTCTAGGCCTGCAGACTGAATCAAGTAGCCTTGTAGAAGATTCTCTGGAGGAGGCGCCAAAAGTTGCTTATACTTGCTATGGAATTTGATTTTACTTTGGATATCTTTTTACCATAGATACTTCTCCCTCCAAGCCACACATCCTCTTGGATTTGATGATGTCGTACGATTAGAAATTGAATCCAATATCTGCAGGGAAGGTGGGCCACTCCCCAACTGTTTCACAACTCCATTACGTCAGGCCTGGACAACCATGGAGAAGGTAACCAAGAACTTCAAATGTATTAAACTACAAGAAGTTTTATTGGTAGAACTCATAAAATATAAGGTGGGAAAACCAAGCAGAATAGCACAGTGGAAATTGAAGCAGTCCAGCACAGTGATTAAGAGCAGAGGCCTTGAGTCTGGCCTGGTATGTACAGTCACATGCCACATAACATTTTAGTCAACAGTGGGCTGCATGTACAATGGTCCTGTATGATTATAATGGATCAGAGCTGGCAGTGTAATAATAACAAAGCGTAGAAAAAACAAATTTTAATGAATAAAAAAGAAAAAAGAGACACTAAAAAGATAAAGAATAAACAAGAACAAAACCAAAAAAATTAACGGAACTGAAAAATCTCTGTTGCCTCATATTTACTGTACTATAATTTTAATCATTATTTTAGAGTGCTCCTTCTTGTTAAAAAAAAAAAAAGTTAACTGTAAAACAGCTTCAGACAGGTCCTTCACAAGGTTTCCAGAAGGAGGCATTGTTACCAAAGGAGATGATGGCCCCATGCGTGTTACTGCCCCTGAAGACCTTCCAGTGGGACAAGATGTGGAGGTGAAGGAAAGTGATAATGATGATCCTGACCCTGTGTAGGCTTAGGCTAATGTGGGTGTTTGTCTTAGTTTTTAACAAACAAATTTAAAAAGAAAAAAAATTAAAAATAGAAAAAAGCTTATAAAATAAGGATACAATGAAAATATTTTTGTACAGCTGTATATGTTTGTGTTTTAAGCTGTTATGACAACAGAGTCAAAAAGTTAAAAAAAGGTGAAACTTACAGAGTTAAAAAGTTACAGTAAGCTAATTTATTATTAAAGAAAAAAATTTTAAGTAAATTTAGTGTAGCCTAAGTGTATAGTGTAAGTCTACAGTAGTGTATAGTAATGTGCTAGGCCTTCACATTCACTCACCACTCACTCACTGACTCCCCCAGAGCAACTTCCAGTCCTGCAAGCTCCATTCATGGTAAGTGCCTTATACAGATGTACCTTTTTTTATCTTTTAAACTGTATTTTTACTGTGCCTTTTCTGTGTTTGTGTTTAAATACACAAATCCTTACCACTGTAATAGTAGCCTGCAGTATTTGTTATAGTAACATGTGATAAAGGTTTGGAGCCCAAAAGCAATAGGTTGTACCATATAGCCAAGGGGTATAGTAGGCCATACCATCTAGGTTTGTATAAGTACACTCTGTGATGTTAGCACAATGGCAAATAGAAATTCGATTGATTGATTGATTGATTGATTGATTGAGACAGAATCTCACTCTGTTGTCCAGGCTGGAGTGCAGTGGCACAATCTTGGCACACTGCAACTTCTGCCTCCCAGGTTCGAGCAATTCTCCTGTCTCATCCTCCCACGTAGCTGGGATTACAGGCAGGCACCACCACGCCTGGCTAATTTTCGTATTTTAGTAGAGACGGGGTTTCACCATGTTGGCCAGGCTGTTCTCGAACTCCTGACCTTAAGTGATCTGCCTGCTTTGGCCTCCGAAAGTGCTGGGATTACAGGCATGAGCCACCATGTCTGGGCAGTAACTGAAATTCTCTAATGCCATTTTCCTTATCTGTAAAATGACGATAATATGCATGTTTACCTCAAAGTTACTTTGAGGATTAAAATAAGGTAATGTATATAAAAATACATATTAACATAGTACCTGATAACATGGTAAGCATCAAAAAATGTTAACTACTATTATTACTATTATTATTACATATTTTTAAATAATTAGAAAGCATTATCAAAAATTAGCTGGGCGTAGTGGCACACACCTGTAGTTCCAGCTACTCAGGAGGCTGAAGCTGAAGGATTGCTTGAGCCTGGGAGTTCAAGGCTGCAGTGAGCCGTGTTCATGCCCCTGCACTCCAGCCTTGGTGACAGAGCAAGACCCTGTCTCCAAAAATTGAAGAAGGCATTATGGGGCAGAGTTAGCTTAGTAATGATCCAAATATTTCACCAGTATCTGTCACAGGATTGGAATACTAGTTTTCGGTATTATGATCACTAGGTATTACTAATAGCTTATTAATAATAAAGTATTGACCGGGCGCAGTGACTCATGCCTGTAATCCCAGCACTTTGGGAGGCTGAGGTGGGTGGATCACCTGAGGTCAGGAGTTTGAGACCAGCCTGACCAACATGGAGAAACCCCATTTCTACTAAAAACACAAAATTAGTTGGGCGTGGTAGTGCATGCCTGTAATCCCAGCTACTTAGGAGGCTGAGGTGGGAGAATCGCTTGAATCCAGGAGGCGGAGGTTGCAGTGAGCTGAGATTGTGACATTGCACTCCAGCCTGGGCAACAAGAGCAAAACTCCATCTCAAAAAAATAACGATAATAAATAAATAAAAGTAAAGTTTTGATGTTTGTGAATGGTTTATTCTTCTAATGAACTAGAGGAGATTTTTCCAGGAATTGTAGAGCCCATGAGGTTAATGTTGTTTATATGTGTCATGTGTATCCAGGTGAAAAAACTTAATTAAGTGCTATTATATAATACGATACACAAAAACTGAATTTTAGGAATACTGAAGAATTACATATAGAAGTCAAATCATTAAATAGCTAGTAGTAAACAGAATAGAGTGTCAACTGTTACCCAATGATAATAATATTTTCACAATTAAAATTAAATCTTTTCTGATTTTAAAGGAAAAGTTCAGATCTGTGTGATATAAAGAATGTAAGTTTTCAGGGTAATAAAATTAAAATGCAGAGAGAAAATGCAAAAGTAGTTCTTACTAGATATGTGTATGTAAGGAACTTAGACTAATTTTAAGAACACTATCAAGACCCTGGTAGTTAAGTAGGAAAAAAGACATGAATGATTCATTCACCAAAAAGTGTTATGGTGGTAAACAAAAGAAATATGTTTCTGCCATCCTGGAGCTTAGTCTACAAAAAAGGCACATATTGGCTGGGCATGGTGGCTCGCACCTCTAATCCCAGCACTTTGGGAGATTGAGATGGGTGGATCACCTGAGGTCAGGAGTTCAAGAGCAACTTGGCCAACATGGCGAAACCCCATCTCGACTAAAAATACAAAAATTAACTGGATGTGGTCTTGGGCACCTGTAATCCCAGCTACTCGGGAGGCTGAGGCAGGAGAATCACTTGATCCTGGGAGGCAGAGGTTCCAGTGAGTCGAGATCACACCACTGCATTCCAGCCTTGGCGACAAGAGCGAAACTCCATCTCAAAAAACCAAAAACAAACAAAAAAGGTGCATATTAAATACGAACATAAATATTTACAAATTATACTGAATAAGTTCTCATGTTTGTTATTTGCATGTCCAGTTACAAACTTTTCCTTTATAGAATTAGAAATACAAGTAATAAACATGAGAACTCATTCAGTATAATTAATAATTATTAAATGTAAAGAAAAACATCTATGTAAAATTAGGTATTTAATAATTATTTGGAAAAAAAAAAACATACAACCCAGTGTTAGAAAACCTATGTGGAAACAGATATTTTGATATATTGCTAGTGATTCAAATTGATAATGTTCCTCTGAAGGGTAAGCTGACCATATATATCAAAGTTAAAATTTAACTCAGCAATCACACGCCTGGTGAGTTATCTTAAGGAAATCAGTTTGAAAGTAAAATCAATATATGCACAAAGACTTTAATATTTATCATAAACCAGAAAACTGGAGTTTATGTAAATATCAGGTTTATGTAATACTTTCATGACAAATGTTTTGGGGGAGAAAACCCAACAAAATTACATGCATTGTAGTTTTTTTTTTTTTTTTTTTTTTTTTGAGACATAGTCTCGCACTGGCATCCAGGCTGGGGTGCAAGTGGCACAATCTCGGCTCACTGCAACCTCTGCCACCCGGGTTTAAGCAATTCTCCTGTCTCAGCCTCCCGAGTACCTGTGATTATAGGTGCTCACCACCATGCCTGGCTAATTTTTATAGTTTTTAGTAGAGATAGGGTTTCATCATGTTGGCCAGGCTGTTCTTAAATTCCTGGCCTCAAGTGATCTGTCTGCCATGGCCTCCCAGAGTGCTGAGATTACAGGTGTGAGCCACTGCACCCAGCCTCATGCATTATAATTTTAATTTGTAAACTGTACAAAGGAATAATACTTGTAGTAAAACAAGAAGGAAAAACATTTGTTATAGATAGTTAACGTTTATAACCAGTAAAATTATACATAAAGTTTATTTATTTAAAATAGTTTTAGTTGGATTTGATTTCAACTTTGAAATAATGCTTTTCCTCTCTATCAGGTCTTTTTGCCTGGCTTTTTGTCCAGCAATCTTTATTATAAATATTTGAATGATCTCATCCATTCGGTTCGAGGAGATGAATTTCTGGGTGGGAACGTTTCGATGACTGCTCCTGGCTCTGTTGGCCCTCCTGATGAGTCTCACCCAGGGAGTTCTGACAGCTCTGCGTCTCAGGTATTGACTGATTGCATCTACCATTAGGGAGAAAAGCATACACATCCTTTCCTTCACATCCCAGTAACAGATCCTGTTTGTAAATTTTAAGTTGCAGAAACAAAAGATAAATAAAAGCCGGGTGCGGTGGTTTGTGCCTGTAATCCCAGCACTATGGAAGGCTGCAGTGGGCAGATCACATGAGGTCAGGAATTCAAGACCAGCCTGGCCGACATGGTGAAACCCATCTCTACTAAAAATACAAAAATTAGCCGGGCATGGTGGCAGGCACCTGTAATCCCAGCTACTTGGGAGGCTGAGGCAGGAGAATCCCTTGAACCCAGGAGTCAGAGGTTGCAATTAGGCGAAATCGCGCCACTGCACTCCAGTCTGGGTGAGAGAGTGAGACTGTTTAAAAAAAAAAAAATGAGAGAGAGAAATAAAATTAGCTTGCTTACTATCTTCTAATTAAAGCATTTGTGGTGACTTACAATATACTGTATTGTAAAGTATCATGCTGTTTCATTTAGGCCATTATTCTGTTTGAATCTGTGGCTATTTCTCTTAATAAATCAAGTAATATGGAATATATTCATAGCCTCTGAAGAGCTCTGTATGTAAGTATTTAGGATACTTTTTATTTTTTTTATTTTTTGTTTTTTTAGGATACTTTTAATAAAATAATTGAGTGAATTCTTAGGTCTCCTTTTTTTTCTTTTTCTTTTTCTTTTTTTTTTTTTTGAGACAGGGTCTCCTCACTGCAGCCTGGAAATTCTGGGCTCAAATAATCCACCCACCACAATCTCCTGAGGAGCTGGGACTAGAGGCATGCACCACCACGCCTGGCTAATTTGCAAATTTTTTTTGGCCAGGCGCGGTGGCTCACACCTGTAATCCCAGCACTTTGGGAGACTGAGGTGGGCAGATCAGGAGGTCAGGAGATCAAGACCATCCTGGCCAACGTGGTGAAACCCCATCTCTACTAAAAATACAAAAATTAGCTGGGTATAGTGGTCGCACTCCTGTAATCTCAGCTACTTGGGAGACTGAGGCAGGAGAATGGCTTGAACCAGGGGGTCGGAGTTTGCAGTGAGCCGAGATCATGCCACTGCACTCCAGCCTGGCAACAGAAGAGACTCCATCTCAAAAAACAAAAAAAATGTATACATGACCATATAAAAACCACTGAATTGTATGATGTGAATGTGAATTAGCACAATAAAGCTGTACAAAAAAAGAATACACGGTATGGTTTTATTTATAAAATGACAAGAACAGGTAACGCTAATCTACGCTAACATTTCAGGCATTTGCCAGCACGCCTGGCAGATTTTTCTATTTTTACTAGAGACGGGGTTTCAATGTGTTAGCCAGGCTGGTCACGAACTCCTGACCTCAGGTGATCTGCCTGCCTAGGCCTCCCAGAGTGCTGGGATTACAGGCGTGAGCCATTGGGCCTGGCCTAAATTTTCTTTTTTCTTTTTTTTTTTTGGGGAGGACAGAGTCTTGCTCTTGTTGCCCAGGCTGGAGTGCAATGGCTCAATCTCGGCCCACTGCAATCTCTGCCTCCTGGGTTCAAGCGATTCTCCTGCCTCAGCCTCCCCAGTAGCTGGGATTACAGGCGCCCACCACCACACCCAGCTAACTTTTGTATTTTTTTTAGAGACAGGGTTTCACCATGTTGGCCAGGCTGGTCTCGAACTCCTGACCTCAGGTGATCCAGCTGCATTGGCTTCCCAAAGTGCTGGGATTACAGGCATGAGCTACCATGCCCAATTTTCTCATTATATTGCTCAGGCTGGTGTCAAACTCCTGGGTTCAAGTGATCCTCCTGCCTTGGCCTCCCAAAGTGTGGGGATTACAGGCGTGAGCCACCTTGCTCAGGCCCTTTGCCCATTTTTAAATTAGATTGCCTTTTTATATTGAGTTTTAGGAGTCCTTTATATATTACAGATAAATGTTCCTTATCAAATTATATTATTTCCAGGTGTTTTCTTCATTCTGTGAGTTGTCTTTCCTCTACCTTTTAAAAAAGGGTTTTTTTTGTTTTGTTTTGTTTTTGTTGTTTGTTTTTTGAGATAAGGTCTCATTCTGTTGCCCAGGCTGGAATACAGTGGCACAATCACAGCTCACTGCCACCTCGACCTCCTGGGCCGAAGTGATCCTCTCACTTCAGCCTCCTGAATAGCTAAGGCCATAGATACGCACTCTCCCAGCCAGCTATTTTTTTCTGTTTGTAGAGACAGATCTTACTGGGTTGCCCAGGCTGGTCTCAAACTCTAGGCTCAAAGTGATTCTCCCACCTCTGCCTCCCAGAGTGCTGGGATTACAGATGTCAGCCACATGCAACCTGTCTTTTCACTATTAATAGTGTCTTCCTGCCTCAGCCTCCCGAGTAGCTGGGATTGCAGGCACCCACCACCATGCCTGGCTAATTTTTTTGTATTTTTGGTAAAGACAGCGTTTCACCATGTTCACCCAGCTGGTCTTGAACTCCTGAATTCAGGTGATCCACCTGCCATGGCCTCCCAAAGTGCTGGGATTACAGGCGTGAGCCACTGCACCCAGCCGAAATATTGCCATCTTAGCAATATTGTCTTCTAATTTGTGAACATAGATGTATCTTCATGTATTTATGTGTTCTTTAATTTCAGCAGAATTTTGTAGTTTTCAGAGTAGAAGCCTTTCACCCCCTTGGGTCATTTATTCCTATGTTTAAATTCTTTTCGATTCCATTATAAATAGAATTGTTTTCTTAATTTCATTTTCAGATTGTTTGATGAGAGAGCATAGAAATACAAGTGATTTTGGCTGGGCACGGTGGCTCACTTTGGGAGGCTGAGATGGGTGGATCACGAGGTCAGGAGTTCCAGACCATCCTGGCTAACACAGTGAAACCCCGTCTCTACTAAAAATAAAAAAAATTAGCCAGGCGTGGTGGCAGGCACCTGTAGTCCCAGCTACTCAGGAGGCTGAGGCAGGAGAATGGTGTGAATCCCGGAGGTGGAGCTTGCAGTGGGTCAAGATCGTGCCACTGCACTCCAGCCTTGGTGACAGAGCGAGACTCCGTCTCAAAAAAAAGAAAGAAATACAAGTGATTTTTACATGTTGATGCAAGTGCAACTTCAACTTTGCTAAATCTGATTGTTAGCTCTAATAGTTTTCTTGTGGATTCTTTAGGATTTTCATTATATAAGATCATGTCATTTATGGATACAGATAGTTTATTTCTGGCTAGAACTTACAGAACAATGATGAGTAAAAGTGGCAAAAGCAAAAATCTTTGTCTTGTTTCCTATCCGACAGGGAATGCTTTCAGTTTCATCATTTAATATGATATTAGGTCTGGGTTTTCAATAAATGCCTTTTTTCAGGTTGAGGAATTTCCCTATCATTCCTAATTTTTTAATGCTTTTTTTTTTTTTTTTAATCATGAAACGGTGTTGAATATTGTCATGTTCTTCCTGTATCAGTACAAATGATCATATGGGTTTTGGGTTGTATTCTATTGATGTGAAATATTAATTGATTTTCAGTGTTAAACCAACCATGCATGCCTGAGATCAATCTCACTTGGTCATGGTGTGTAATCTTTTCAATACGCTGCTGGATTCTATTTACTGGTATTTTGTTGAAGATTTTGTATCTGAACGCTTAAGATAACATTTATACTCCATCACAAATCAATTGACCATAAATGTGAGGGTGTATTTGTGGGTTCTTAATTCTCTTCCATTCCAAAGATAAGACATCCATCCATCTGTATGTCTGTCTTTATGCCAGTACCATACTCTCTTGATTACTAATGCTGTGTAATAAGTTTTGAAATCAGAAAGTAAGAGTGAGATTTTGGTATCTGAGTGACAGTCGTCATAGAATTAGTTGGGAAGTATTCCCTCTTCTTTATTCTGGTCCCTCTTTCTTTTTTATTTAACTGTGTATCTTGGAGATTGTTCCTTCTCAACACATAATGAGAGCCCCTTTCCCTACCCTCCCACCCCCACTATAGAGAGTTCTGTAAGTGTCTGTTCAATTATTTTATTTACTTAACCTATTACTTAGTCAGGGACATTAAGCTTGTTTATGTCTTTTATTTTAAAGAATGCTGCAATGAATAATCTTGTATATAAGTCATTTTCCATCAATATGAGTCTGTCTGTAACTGAATTTTTAGAAGCGGAATTTCTAGGTCAACCTATGGCTCTGTATTTCACAAAAATACCAATTCTGACTTTTCTTGTGGAGGTGGGGAGTAGGAGGTAGAATGCTGGAGGGTAACATGCTGTACTCAGCTAGCTAGTCATTTTAGAAAGGGTTTCCTTAGCTTCTTTTTGTCATATGGCCTCACCAAGAATCAAACACCAAATTTACCCTGTAAATTTACCCTGTAAATAAACATTCCTATTTACCCTGTAAACATGGGGTTTTACTACCCAGGATACATATTTCTGTATGGATGAGAGCTTTTCACGCTGAGGAATAATGCTGTGAGTACAGCACATTTGTTGGAACTTAGGTCATTAAGAATGTTTTATAAATTCATATATTACACATTTTATTTTATTTTATTTTTTAGTTTTTAAGACAAAGTCTTCCTCTGTTGCCCAGGCCGGAGAGCAGTGGTGCAATCTGGGCTCACTATGACCTCCACCTCCTGGGCTCAAGTGATTCTCATGTCTCAGCCTCCAGAGTAGCTAGGATTACAGGCATGCACCACCATGCCCGACTAATTTTTGTATTTTTAGTAGAAACAGGGTTTCACCATGTTGACCATGCTGGCCTCGAACTCTTGGCCTGAAGTGATTGGCCCACCTTAGCCTCCAAAAGTGCTGGGATCCTTGTATTGGGTAAAAGATGAATATTGAGGGCTGCATGGTAGCTGATACCTGTAATCCCAGCACTTTGTGAGACAGACGGGAGGAGTGCTGGAGCCCAGGAGATTGAGGCTGCAGTGAGCTGTGATCGCGCCATCACACTTCAACCTAGGGATTACAGGCTTCAGTCACTGTGCCTGACCTGTACATTTTAATATTGTGCTTTCCTCTTTTAGCTATAGTATGAGGTTACATTTCAGAGTCATTGTTGTTAAGCATCTTAATAGTGATGAGGTTGAGTGAAAGTTACTTCTATTTCAAACACTGAAGAAAATTTTGTACAAATCTGTCACATTCCAAGCCCAGGACTGATTGTTTCATATACTTCTAATTTTACAATTTCTATTGTAGTCCAGTGTGAAAAAAGCCAGTATTAAAATACTGAAAAATTTTGATGAAGCGATAATTGTGGATGCGGCAAGTCTGGATCCGGAATCTTTGTATCAACGGACATATGCCGGGTAAGCTTAGCTCATGTGTAGAATTTTTACAAGTGTAAATAACTGCATCTTTTAAAATTTTTAAATTAAATTTTACATTTTTTTCTAATCTATTATTATATGCCCAGAGCTTTCACTTAGAGTGTGCAGTATAATGTGGTGGTTAAGTGTAAAGGCTCTGGAGTGACTTCCTGGGTTTTAATCTTGGCTCTGCTGCCGTTTATTGGCAAGCTGCTAACCTCTTGGTATCTCGGTTTTTTCATCTGTAAAATAAGAATAATAAAGTGAAAAGATGCCAACATCATTTACTCTGGGCTGCATAACTCATACTTGGAAAAATTATTTCTTTGAATTTAAGAATTAACTCGGTTGTTCATTTTAGCTTGTGATCAAAAGATAGTGATTTCTAGGACATGCCACTTACTAAAATTTACCACAGATCCAGTCAGAAAATCACTTTCTCTTCCCTAAAGGTGGCTTGATTAACATGTAAAGGTGTGTAAAGACTTGATTGCCCTACCCTGACCCATTCCCTAGTTCCCAGCAGTACCATGAAAAAGTGATTTCAAGATACTTAATTGCTTTCAGTAGAAAGTAACAGTGGTAGGCCAGGCGCAGTGGGTCATGCCTGTAATCCCAGCACTTTGGGAGGCTGAGGCAGGCAGATCACGAGGTCAGGAGATCGAGACCATCCTGGCTAACATGGTGAAACCCCGTCTCTACTAAAAAGACAAAAAGCTGGGCGTGGTGGCAGGCACCTGTAGTCCCAGCTACCTGGGAGACTGAGGCAGGAGAATGGCATGAACCCGGGAGGCAGAGCTTGCAGTGAGCAGAGATTGCGCCACTGCACTGCAGCCTGGGTGACAGAGCGAGACTCTGTCTCAAAAAAAAAAAAAAAGAAAAGAAAGTAACAATGGTATTGGGAGACTGAGGAGCCTGGAAAGTACTTGAAGGAAATAAAAGATTTGTTTGACCACACTGTATTTGGAAAGCCAGCTTCTTCAGCTGTGTTGCTTTGTATAGTGATCTTTAGTTCTTCTTTTAGAAAATAATGGACAAGGCCGGGCGCAGTGGCTCACGCCTGTAATCCCACCACTTTGGGAGGCTGAGGCGGGTGGATTACCTGAGCTCTGGAGTTAGAGACCAGCCTAGGCAACATGGTGAAACCCCATGTCTACTAAAATACAAAAAGCCGGGCGTGGCGGCGTGTGCCAATAGTCCCAGCTACTCAGGAGGCTGAGGCAGGAGAATTGCTAGAACGCGGGAGATCACGCCACTGCACTCCAGCCTGGGCGAGAGAGCAAGACTCTGTCTCAAAAATAATAATAATAAAATAAAAAATAATGGACAGTAAACCTAAAGGAGTTCATTCCCAAAGATGATGTTATTCTTAAGGAATGTTTCATTTATTTAAGACCTTACATAAAGTCTATCCATTGTGTGATGTTTCACTTCTGTAATTGTGTATGTGTGTAATGTAAATATATATGTTTTTGCTTTGTTTTTTTGAGACAGAGTCTCGCTCTGTCACCCAGGCTGGAATGCAGTGGTGCAGTCTCACTCTCTGCAACCTCTGTCACCCCAGGTTCAAGCGTTTCTCCTGCCTCAGCCTCCCAAGTAGCTGGGACTACATGCGTGTGCCACCACGCCCGGCTAATTTCTTGTATTTTCAGTAGAGACAGGGTTTCACCGTTCTAGCCAGGATGGTCTCGATCTCCTGACCTCATGATTCACCTGCCTTGGCCTCCCAAAGTGCTGCTATTACAGGCGTGAGCCATCACGCCCAGCATGTATTTTTTAAATGTATAAAAGGAAGCAGAAAAGAGAAGTGATCATTTTTCTTTATCTCTAAAGATTACCTTCGCCAGGCACAGTGGCTCACACTTGTAATCCCAGCACTTTGGGAGGCTGAGGCAGGCAGATCACTTGAGGTCAGGAGTTCAAAACCAGCCTGGCCAACATGGTGAAACCCTGTCTTTACTAAAAATAAATAAATAAAGATGGTTTTTAATATTTGTTTTAGTTTTGTGATTTTAGCATCTTCCTGAAATTTTTCTCAAGGCAAGTAAATTGTATCAATTGGTATATCAGCACCCATATATGAAATAACTTATTAGGAGGGTATCTTTAAAATAAGATCTACTTTGCCTGAAATAAACTGATATATTGATGTTCACAGAATTTTTCTTTTAACCAACTTGACAAATGCATTATTCTTGACCTCAAGTGATCCACCTTCCTCAGCCTCCCAAAGTGCTGGGATTACAGGCATGAGCCACCGCACCTAGCATTATTCTTATAAAAAATTAAATTTATAGTTAAGTTTAGTGTCCCCTTTGTTCATGTACCATTGCTTATTTTCTTCCGTTCCTACTCACAGTAATCATTCTTATGGTATGCATTTTTGTTTGCTTGTTTTTATATAATTGATATTACGCTCCATTCTGTACGTTGTACTTCCATTCACAGTGAGTTTTGGGCATTCCTACGTTCGTCTATACAGACTTACCTCATTTTAACTATACTGTAGTATTCCGTATATAATATTTATTATAATTCATAACTGTAGCAGAGTATCTCATAGTGTATGTGTTACTGTTTTGCCATTTTAGTATCAATGAGTATTTAAGTCATTTGCAGTTTTTCCCTCTTATACCCAGTATCACAAAGGATCTCCTTTTGTATGCTTCTTTGTACCAGGAAGCAGATTAAAAAAAATTTTTTTTTTTTAATTTTTGAAAAAAAATGAAATGAAGTCTCACTATGTTGCCCAGGCTGGTCTCAAACTTCTAGGCTCAAGCAGTCCTTCCATCTTGGCCTTCCAAAGCACTGGGGTTACAGGCATGAACCACCACGCCTGGCCCAGATTTTAAAATTTGATAGCTCTTACAATTTACTTTTTAAAGTATCTACATCATTTTATGTTCTCACCAGTCATTAATGAGAATACTTGAGACTTTTGGCTGGACACAGTGGCTCACGCCTGTAATCCCAGCACTTTGGGAGGCCGAGGCGGGCGGATCAAGGGATCAAGACCACCCTGGCCAACATGGTGAAACCCTGTCTCTACTAAAAATACAAAAATTAGCTGAGCATGGTGGTGCATGCCCGTAGTCCTAGCTACTCGGGAGGCTGAGGCAGGAGAATCACTTGAACCCGGGAGGCAGAGGTTGCAGTGAACTGAGATCGCACCACTGCACTCCAGCCTAGCAACAGAGTGAGATTCCGTCTCAGGAAAAAAAAAAAAAAACAAAACTTCAGACTTAATTGTTTTTCCAGTCTTAGGTTAAGATTGGGTTTCTTTTGGTATATCTCTTGATTGTTCAGGTTTTTTCCTTTATGAATTGACTATTCATCTCCTTTTCACATTATTTCTGTTGCGTGATTTTATTAGTGACTTGTTAAAATTCTGTATATTTCTTCAGCATGACACTTCATTATTCAAAAAAAAAATTCTGTACATGTTTCTCAATACTAATCATTGGTTGGTAATATCTTAAAAATAAGAACCTTACTGTATTTTTTGCTTTTGTTTTTTTTTTTTTGGAGACAGAGTCTTACTCTGTTGCCCAGGCTGGAGTGCAATGGTGTGATCTCAGCTCTCAGCTCACTGCAACTGCAACCTCTACCTCCCTGGTTCAAGCGATTCTCCTACCTTAGCCTCCTGAGTAGCTGGGATTACAGGCACCCACCACCACTCCCGGCTAATTTTTATATTTTTAGTAGAGACAGCATTTCACCATGTTGGCTAGGTCTCAAACTGCTGGCCTCAAGTGATCCGCCTGCCCTGGCCTCCCAAAGTACTGGGATTATAGGCATGAGCCACCACGCCCGGCTGCTTTTTGCTTTTTACCTTTGTTTTATAGTACTATAGTTTTAGTATAAACAAACATATATACACACAACTATGGCTTTATAATATATTTCAGTCACTATTAGAGCAAGGCCTACCTTTTGGCTGCTTCTTTGACAAAATTGTCTTGGCTATTCTTGTGCCTTTTTTCTTCTTTGTGAGTTTTAGAATTGTGAATTGCCTGTTGACTCACCATGTTTTGTAAACCGTTTGAGGATTTCTAATGGAATTGCACTCAAAGGTTATCTTGCTTTCTGTGCAGCAACGTTTTATTTCAAATAAGCCCTACTTTAAGTTACATAGGATGGCTGTAAATTGTGTTTCTGGCTTTCTAGATTTAGATGAATTCTCCTAAATTTAAAACTGATTGTTAGCGGTTATAGTCTTCTGTTCATCCTTGTTTAGGAAGATGACATTTGGAAGAGTCAGTGACTTGGGGCAATTCATCCGAGAATCTGAGCCTGAACCTGATGTAAAGAAATCAAAAGGTTTGTGATGTTTTTATACTTCATATTAAGCCTTTACTCACATTGACTGTAAGTCATTTGACTGTAACTCAAAGACCACTGAAGGTTTAAACTGTTTATTTTGTAAAATAACCACTGTATCTTTCACCTTGTGTTTATGGTCACAGGTAAGTACAAGGGCTTCATGTAGTCACATCTTTATGCAATTTCCTCTGAGTCAAAAGTTAGTGAACTTGCTTTGCCACTCCAGAAGGCACATGAATATGAAAAAGCATTGTCTGTTTTTTTATTTTATGGCAAAATACCCAACCTAAGTTGGACTTAATGTTTGAGACCCTTTATTTTATTAAATTGTTATATTTTTTCTTTTCTTTTTTTCCTTTTTTTTTTTTTTTTTAATAATTTTTTGAGACAGTTCTTGCTCTGTCACCTAGATTGGAGTGCAGTGGTCTGATCTCACCTCACTGCAACCTCTGCTTCCTAGGTTCTAGCGATTTTCCTGCCTCAGCCTCCTGAGTAGCTGGGACTACAGGTGCACATCACCACACCTGGCTGCTTTTTGTATTTTTAGCAGTGATGGGGTTTCACTACGTTGGCTAGGTTGGTCTCGTACTCCTGACCTCAAGCAATCCACCCGCCTTGGCGTCCCAAAGTGCTGGAATTACAGGTGTGAGCCACTGTGCCTGGCCTTATTAAATTATTTTTATTAAATTTCCTCAAGATTGATGAAAGTAATGAAATATACATAGAAAATAGACTGGATTAAGAAAATGTGGTACATATACACCATAGAATACTATGCAGCCATAAAGAAGGATGAGTTCATGTCCTTTGTAAGGACATGGATGAAGCTGGAAACCATCATTCTGAGCAAACTATCACAAGGACAGAAAACCAAACACCACATATTCTCACTCATAGGTGGGAATTGAACAATGAGAACACTTGGACACAGGATGGGGAACATCACACACCGGGGACTGTTGTGGGGTTGGGGGAGAGGGGAGGGATAGCATTAGGAGATATACCTAATGTAAATGATGAGTTAATGGGTGCAGCACACCAACCAACATGGCACGTGTATACATATGTAACAAAGCTGCACGTTGTGCACATGTACCTTGGAACTTAAAGTATAATAAATAAATAAATAAGAAATATATGTGGAAAATATTAATAGGTCAAAATTCAAATTGTTCGTTTCATCACAAGAGTAGCTTAGTCAAATCCAAGGGTTAGACACAGAAATCTTTTTTGTCAAGTGCATTCTTTGTGACTGATTTCAGTTTCTTCCTGGTTTACACAGGAAGATTTCAGAAACAAATGTGGATCCGTGAAAGATGATATCTAGAAGTTTTCAGTTTGGTTGAATTGACAGTATTGTCTTTAATTTTTGTAAGAAGAAAATACTCAATTTTGATAAGTACGTTTAAGATTAAGAGCTGTTGGCTGGACGCTGTGGCTCACGCCTGTAATCCCAGCACTTTGAGAAGCCAAGGCAGGTGGATCACGAGGTCAAGAGATCGTGACCATCCTGGCCAACACAGTGAAACCCCGTCTGTACTGAAAACACAGAAATTAGCCAGACTTGGTGGCATGTGCCTATGCAACCGCCTCCGGGTTTAAGCAATTCTGTTTTAGGCTCCCGAGTAGCTGGGATTATAGGCGCCATGGCTAATTTTTGCATTTTTAGTAGAGACAGGGTTTCACTACGTTGACCAGGCTGGTCTGGTCTCAAACTCCTGACCTCAGGTGATCCGCCTGCCTGGACCTCCCAAAGTGCTGGGATTATAGGCGTGATCCACCATGTCTGGCCATTTATCTTATTTTCTTTTTTTTTTTTTCCTGAGATGGAGTCTTGCTCTGTTGACCAGCGTTGGAGTGCAGTGGCATGATCCCAGCTCACTGTAACCTCTGCCTCCTGGGTTCAAGCAATTGTGCTGCCTCGGCCTTCCAAGTAGCTTGGATTACAGGCGCGCGCCACCACACCTGGCTAATTTTTGTATTTTTAGTGGAGACAGGGATTCATTATGTTGGCCAGGCTGGTCTCGAACTCCTAACCTCGTTATCTGTGCCCACCTCAGCCTCCCAAAGTGCTGAGGTTACAGGTGTGAGCCACTGCGCCCAGCCATCTTATTTTCTTTCTTCTTTTTTTTTTTTGGCATGGGGGACAGAGTCTAGCTCTGTTGCCAGGCTGGAGTGTAGAGGCATGATCTTGGCTCAGTGCAACCTCCACCTCCTGGGTTCAAGTGATTCTCCTGTAATCTCAGCCTCCCAAGTAGCTGGGATTACAGGTATGCACCACCAGGCCCAGCTAATTTTTGTATTTTTAGCAGAGATGGGGTTTCATCATGTTGACCAGGATGATCTCCATCTCCTGACCTTGTGATCCACCCACCTTGGTCTCCCAAAGTGCTGGGATTATAGGTGTGAGTCACCACACCTGGCCCATTTTATTTTCTTAATGCAACTATTATTTAGGTAATTAATTGCATCTCTTCATTTTGATGAATGATCTACTTTTTGGTCAGATATAAATTCGACAGAGTAAGCAAAAAATGCAACAATTATTGAAGTAATTTAAACCAAAAAAGGGCCTATTACCTAGTTGACTTTATCCAAATAATTACTTTTATTTCCTGTTTTGTCAGAGAAGTCTTAGGTACACTGTTGGGAAGAATCTTAAGACTGAAGGAAAATCTACACAGTTCATTCAGTAAATAATGTTTTGCTTTTCCTGAGTTTTGCTTTTCCTGAGTTAAGGAAAGGGAAAAAAATTGTGTATATGTTTTAAGTAAATGATTTTGAGTGCCTCTTTGTGTACTTGTATTCACACAGCAGGTTAGAAGATTCAGATCCTGCTTTCAAAAATTTGACAGTCTAGTAGTTATGTGCCTTTCTTTTTCTTCTTCTTCTTTTTTTTTTTGGAGACAGAGTCTTGCTCTGTTGCCCAGGCTGGAGTGCAATGGCGCGATCACGACTCACTGCAACCTCTGCTCCCCGGGTTCTAGCAATTATTCTGCCTCAGCCTCCCATGTAGCTGGGATTATAGGCACCTGCCACCACGCCTGGCTAATTTTTTGTATTTTTAGTAGAGATGGGGTTTTGCCATTTTGACCCTGCTGGCCTCAGACTCCTGGCCTCAAGTGATCTGCCCGCCTTAGCCTCCCAAAGTGCTGGGCTTACAGGCATGAGCTTGTATTGGATAAAAGAAGAATATTGGGGGCTGCATGATGGTTCATACCTGTAATCCCAGCTCTTTGTGAGACTGAGACGGGAGAAGTGTTGGAGCCCAGGAAGGTGAGGTTGCAGTGAATTGTGATTGTGCCATCACACTTCCACCTAAGTAATGGAGCAAGACCCTGTCTCTAAAAAACAAAACAAAATTTTTTTAAGGAATACTAGGAAGAGGTCAGCGGTGGTTTCAGAACAGAGGAAGTGCCAGATGACCTTTGTGAGGCATTGGCCAGGAAGAACTCTACAGTGTCTTTAGGCAGCTTCTGTCTATAAGGATAATGGAGTCTCCTCCCCGGTATTAATAGAAAATCTCTGAGCTGTTTTTTTTTTCCCCCCTGAGACGGAGTCTTGCTCTGTCGCCCAGGCTGGAGTGCTGTGGCGCAATCTTGGCTCACTGCAAGCTCCGCCTCCTGGGTTCACACCATGCTCCTGCGTCAGCCTCCCGAATAGCTGGCACTACAGGCATCGGCCACCACGCCCAGCTAATTTTTTTGTTACTTTCAGTAGAGACGGGGTTTCACCATGTCAGCCAGGATGGTCTCAATCTCCTGACCTCGTGATCTGCCCACCTCGGCCTCCCAAAGTACTGGAATTACAGGCGTGAGCCACTGTGCCCAGCCGGTTTTTTTTTTTTTTTTTTAAATCTGGCTTCATACCTCTGATAGCTCATGAAGAAGTGTTCCTGCTTCATACATATATGTGTTAGGTATAGCATAGGTGTTTGGTGTTCTGTTTGTTTCTGTTTGTTTTATATGAATTAAGGTGTATTATGAGCAGTTGAAGATAAACAGGAAATTTTTTCCCAAACCACTCTATCTGCTCGTTCTATTCATTCAGTCTCTTTATGTTATTCCTTCATTCATTCATTCTGTAGAACAATGGAGTGCCTACTATATGCATCTACTGTTCTGGGTCCTGGGGAAGAAAGCAAAGTTCCTGCTTTCATGGAACTTACATTATATTGGTAGAGACAGTAACAGATAAACAAATGCAGCCTGTGTACATGTGTTACATGAAAAGCAGGGTAGGGGGCTGGGAGAGAGTAGTAGGGAATGCTGTTTTCAAGTTGGTTGTCGGGAAAGGCCTCACTGAGGAGGTGGCATTTTTAGTAGACCTGAGCGCATTGGGGGCGTAAGCCCAGGCAGCAAGTGGAGGAAGAGTGTTCATGATGGAAGGAACAAGGACAGAGGCCCGAAGCTAGAGAGCGCAGCATGATCAAGGAACAGCAAGCCCCGTGTGGCTGGAATGGAGTGAGCAAAGGAATGAGCAGTAGAAGGTGAATGAGTTGGGAGGTCACCAGAGACCATGGCAAGGACTGGAAAGTGTCAGGGACACATTGGAATTTGGAGCAGGGAAATGATGGGATTTATGTTTTTAAGGGATTGCTGTATCAGCTATTTGAAAAATTAAGTGTAGGGCTTCAAGAATAGAAGCAGAGAAACAACATTCTTGCTGTAATCGTAGTCTAAGTAAGGGATGATGGTGGTGTGGATTAGGCTGGTAGTGGAAGACCAGTCCAGTTCAGGTTGTATTTGAGGGTAGAGGCAAAAACATTGTATTTCTACCAGCAAGCCCATCTATGAAGTTACTTGTATTATGTATTTGATTGAGATATGCCCACATAAACTAATGAATAGGAATGTCTGCAGTTGGGTTAAACACCCCCATATATCCTTCTTTTAATTCTTTTAATTGTCCAAACGTCTCTTTAAGTCAAAGTGTTTTTTGGTGGTGTAGGAGCCTAGGGATTGAATTATTCACTCAGAAGGCATTTGAGTGATTAC